GATCCCATCATGGGAACAACCACACAGAACTGGGGTCCAGCCAAGTTGATACACAGCTCCAACTATCACAATAAGCAATATCATAACAAACAGAGAAAAGATTAAAGTTGTTAATGATTTTTTTTTACTTGGATGCACAATCAACACCCATGGAAGCAGCAGTCAAGAAATTAGATGTTGTATTGCACTGGGCAAAGCTGCTACAAGAGATCTCTTTAAATTACTAAAGAGCAAGGATGTCATTACAAAGACTAAGGTGCACCTAACCCAAGCTATGGTGTTTTCAATCACTTTAATATGCATGTGAAAGCTGGACAATGAATAAGGAAGACAGAAAAAAACTGATGCCTTTGAATTATGGCATTTGCAAAGAACACTGAAAATACCATGGAATGTCAGAAAAACGAACAAACCTGGGAAGAAATGGAGCCAGAATGCTCCTTAGAAATGAGAATGGACAGACTTCGTTTCATGTACTTTGGTCATGTTGCCAAAGGGACCAGTCCCTGGAAAAGAATATCACACTTGTTAGAGTATAGTGTTGGCAAAAATGGGGAAGACCTTTAATGAGATGGATTGATACAGTAGCTGCAATAATGGGTTCAAGCATAACAAAGATTGTGAGGAAGGCGCAGGACCAGGCAATGTTTTGTTCTATTGTATATAGGGTTGCAATGAGTCGGAGCTGACTCAATGGCACCTAATGACAACAAGAGACTAATGGACTATGGATACTCAGCCTACATAACCCTGAGACCTTAAGAATTAGATGATGCCCAGCTGTCACTGACAAAACATTCAAAAAGCATCAGAATAGGTGATCCTGGATAGAGTGGGAGAGAAACGTGGAACAAACCACAAAGTTATATAAAAAACAAACAAACAAGGATTACTGGTCTGATAGAGACTCATGCTTGGAATGGAAGTCATTCCCATGGCTTAACTTTCAACCAAACAATAGACAGCCTATGAGGTGAACAATTATAACAGGAAGTGGCACTTCTTAGAACAATCAACCTTGGGAAACCAGAGGGGCAGCATTTACACTGGAAAAAAAAGCTTAGATGGCAGGAATACATAAGAAAGAAGGGAAAAGGTAACCACAGGGAGGAAGTGGGAAGAGAGCTATTACATTATGGGGATTGCAAGCAGTGTCACAAAACAAAATGTGCATGAACTAATGATAATGAATAAAGAAATGAACTCAAAAGGTCCAGTAACTTCTTAAACCACACTTACTCTTACATAAATAAGAAAGGTATAAAAATGAAGCAGACATTGTTACCTACCCAAAACCACTTCCTCTTCATTTTGGATGCTGAAAATACCAGCTATTTGCTGTCTGCCTATCTGCAGCTAAACCATTGATGAGTGACTCAATTCTGGCAAATAGGAACTGATGAGAAGCCTGCTGTTTATAGAAAAGTTTTTCCCCTTAATATAAAAAGACATATGAAAGAAAATGCCCTGCTTTGTATCTGCATGTGAAATCTGAAACTGTTACAGATCTCTTGTGATCATAAGAAAGAGATCACCAGCATACAAGGATGACTGAGCAAAAACTGAAAAACACTTGGGTCCTTGCTCTCATCAAGTGATACGTCATTCAGCTAACCCTAGAACTATTCCACCCCAACTCCATTGCATCCCCTAATTAGACATATTCTGCTAGCTAAGAGGTTCATATGCAATCTCAAGATTATTTTTTATCACTAGATTATTTTAAGCATTTAGGTACTTTTCTATGTGCCCTGCGCTTTAACTAACTTTATTCTTTCAATCAAATCTTATGAAGTACTTTTTCCTAAGTTTCAGAAATGGTCTACCTTTTAAATTTTATATTTATGTATGCTTCCATAACCATTCTGCTCAGCTGAAGTTGAATGTAATTACTTTAAACAACATTGTCTTTAAAATGTGCTATAAATGTAGGTCACAGATTTAAAACCTGAAAGGCTACAAAAACCTCAAAGAGTTCTAGAGGAAGGTTTCTATATTCTAGAACTGTGCTGTCCAATACAGCAGTCACTAGCTACATATACCTATTTAAATATAAATTAAAATTAATAAATTCAGCTCCTTGGTTGACTAGACACATTTCAAGATTCAGTAGTTAACATGTGGCTAGTGTCTACTGTATTTGTGCAGAGACAAACATTGCCATCATTGTAGAAAGTTTTATTAAAAAGTGCTGTTGTAGCATATGAGTTAAACATTTAACTCAAGTAGATACACTCCTTGGAGAGAAGAATCATGGGAGAAAGAAGGGCTGCTTATGCACAGGGAGACAGCTCAGGGGGCAAGAGTGCATGGAGGGATGGACACTGGGAAGAGGTAACTACGGGGAGGAACTGGGAGGGGAGCTGTTGCATTGTGGTAAATTGTGGTCAATGACATGAGAGAAAGTATATGTGAACTGCTTTATGGAAAGTGAATTTGCTCTGTAAATCTTCACCTAAATCACAATAAATAAATAAAGTGCTGTTGTAGATAAAATTTCTCCAAGAAATCAAAAATCTAGGAATGCAGAAGATAGGACCCTTTGAAAATCTAAGTAGTAATATTTTAAATTGCAAACTCCACAGGAATTACACTAGTTACTCTCTTCTGCTTCTTGTTCTACATAGTATCTGACTATTGGACCCAAAACTTTGTCTAGCATCTGCAAAGCCCACCTGATCACTCCAGAGGTGTGTTTTCTCCCATAAGACATTGAATGTATCTCAGAGTGCTTATAGCTCTGAGGTGTTTTATAAGTACTCGTATCTGAACATGACCAAAATTACTTCATGTGCTGTCAAAATCTACCCAAATCTGCCGTCATACAGAGTTCTAGTCTAAGACATGACACACTATTCTTTGAACTATCATACCAAAACCTTGGAAATCATCCTCTTCTCACTTACCTCCCACATCAAATGAATCTCCAGATCCTATTGATACCACTTCTTAAATTAGTCTTGAATTCCTCTTCTTTCCACCTGTACTGCCACTACTCTATTCCAAAGCCACTATAATCTCCCATATGGACTATTATAACAGCATACTTACCCTAAATCTACTCATATTCCCCTCCAATACACATTCATTACTATGGAAGAGTTAAAGAGCCATCTGATCTTATTATTTCTAATGATTCCTGTTACCCTTATACAGCTTAAAACACTGAACTTTAGGTCCCACAGATATGTGGCTTGCATATATCTCACCACATTCCCTTTTGGGTATTATGTTTAAAACACAGTAAACATATATTGGCTCTTTTTGTCCATGGGCCTTACCACATAGTGTTTTCTCCACATGGAGTACCTTTGCCCTTCTTCATTTAGAGAGCTCATCATACACATTTTCAGGATGAACCTCCCTGACCTCCTAAGCTAGATTAGCTCCCCCTAGACAAAAACTCTCAACATTCTGATTCTCCTGATTTGTAAAATTCATCCCCCTATTTCGTTTTGTTTTCCCTGGAAGATGCTACATATGTGAAATCAAGTACTTTCTCTATATTATTCAATTCTGTATTATCAGAGGCTGGCACAGAACCTTGCATACTATAGGAAATCAATAAATATATAATGAGTAATGTGTAATTCAGTTAATGAGTAAAGAAATTAATTCTTAAAGATTACATGTAATTCTGAACAAAAATTAAAACCAAAACAATACTTACCTGGTATTTTCATTATATTCAAAAATCTGAACCTTGGCCATTGCATTTGGACTACTGTCATCACTTCCTACAGCTATCATAGGGGAATGAGCACGAGAGCTAGAAATGAAGAGTAAACAATGTCATAATGATGAAATTAATACCCATTTAATTCAGAGAATTAAAAAAACTGGAATCAAGCAGATACATAACCTACATGTCAATATGCTGCCACTGTGACAGCAACCAGAACCCTGTCACCCACCAGACACACCACACCTTGTAAGTGTAAGCCTGAGAAGGTTTCACGTAGTAACTTGGGATGCCATCTTTTGGGATGACTTTCACATTTTCTTACTGACATGTAAGGAAGTATCTAAATGTTCAAGTATTTAAAAGATTTTTTAAAATGCCTTAGAGATTGTAGCACTTTTTTTTTTAACTTTTTATTGAGATTTGGGTGAAAGTTTACAGAGCAAAGTGGTTTTCCATTCAACAATTCATACACACTTTGATTAATGACACTGACTAATCCCCACAATGTAACAACACTCTTTCTACTTCCTCCCTGTGTTTCCTATTTCCATTTGTCCTTCTTTCCTATCACTTCTTGCCTTCTGAGCTTTATCCTGGGCAAATACTGCCCTTTGATCTCAAATGATTGAGGGCTCTAAGGAGAATATACCTCTCTGATGTCATTCACCTTATAGGCTTGTCTATTTGACTGAAAGCTGAGCCACGGAGGTGGCTTAAAGAGTTATAGGGTAAGTAAGAAAAGTCATTGTCTCAAGGGTTCCACCAGTCTCTATCAAACCAAATTTTAGCACTTTTTCCTCCTGAAAGATTTGGTCATTATTAAGGAATGAAAAGTCACTCTACAATACTTTGTGATATACCAAATTCAAAACAAAAAAAAATTAAGTGATTTGTACAAAAAGAAACACAGATGGAGGGAAGATAAGTAAAAAGACCTCTCCTCAGGAAGTCATGGTCCTCATGTTATTCTCACTGGAGTCATTTGTGGTCAACCTCATTTTGAAAAGAGAAAGATACAAGAAAATGGTTCTGCTGAAGTGAAGTTAAATGATTTTATCAAGCTCTGGTAGCACAGTACCTAAGGCATTTGACTGCTAACCAGAAGGCTGGCAGTTCAAACCCACCAACCACTCCTCAGAAGCTTGGGCAATCTACTTCTGTAGTGACACTGCCTCAGAAACCCAAGGAGGGTCACTATGATTTGGATCTGATGGCAGTGTGTTTGGTTTGGTTTTTGGTTATGCCTAATTACCTAGATATTAATTCCCTTAGCCTCTCTCAGTCAGATTAATATCTCTATGAACATCTCTATGAAACTTTTGCTTAATGTGATAGTTGGGGTTATGTGTCAACTTGGCTGGACCACAACTCTTGAGTGGTTTAAGCAGCTGTGATGTGGTTATTTCCATGATGAGATCTGGTATCCCTGCTCTGAGCAGCCAATCCACTGAAAGGGAGTTTCCCTAGGGGTATGGCCTGCTTCCAAAATATATACAGACATCTTGGGAAAATTAGGGAACGCTCTATGGATCCAGATCCTGTTGTGCTGCCTACAACTGTCCATGAGAGACCAATCCACCATTCTGCCTCGTGATCTTGCATTTGTCATCCGCTAAAGTCAAAAGCCGGTATACTGCCTGTGAACCTTGAGCTCATCAGCTCTTGCCACTCCAAGAGTTGGGAAAAGCCTCCAGCTTGACATTTGATCCAGGTACTTGGGACTTGCCAGCCTCTATACCTGTGTGCATCATTTTCCTAAGATAAATTTCTCTATATACATAAGGAGCTCTGGTGGTACAGTGCCTAAGGCACTTGGACTGCTAACCAGAAGTCTGGCTGTTCAAACCCACCATCCACTCCTCCAAAGGAAGACTGGGCAATCTCCTTACATAGTGATACAGCCTCGGAAACCCAAGGAAGGGTCGCTGTGAGTCGGATCCAATTCGACGGCAGTGAGTTTGGTTTTTTCAATATATACATAAGCTTTCCTGGTTTTTGCTTCTCTATACACCTAGCTTAACACACTTAACTTTTAACATTGATATTGTTATCTGCCAGCTTCTTAAAACTAACAACAAATATGGATATTTTAAAAAAGGTTTTAATTCTTTATTGCTAAAGATTCAAATAATTAGGCCAAATGATCTAATATAGGAAAAATACCAAGTAAACTACAAAGTGCTACTGTAATAAAATATTTACAATCAATATTTGGCCATGCAAATAGTTAAATTCCACAGTAGTTTCCATATCTCAAGTTTTCTTTTTTCAATATTCTACAAATATAAGCTATGATTTTACAATGCTAAATATCTGAATGAAGACTGAAAGTATATTTACAGTAACATATTCTAAAACTACTTAGAATTCACGTTACTAAACATTATTAGGGTTTTAAAAAGTTTTTAAATCAAATTATAAAACATCTACATAACCTGATTTAAGGATTACTTAATTTGTACACCCAGAAATAAGATACTTACATTTAAAGTATTTCCTAAATATAACTCACAACACTGAGAAAAAGCACAAAGACTCTAATTGAATATAGCAGACCGGCATCTACTTCTCTTCCCTAAAGCTTCCACTAAAATGATGAAAAAATAGTCATAACAGCACTAGAAATCAAGAATACGTGCCAGTAGAGGGAGCTCTGGTGGCGTAGTGCCATGCATAGTGCCTAAGGCATTTGACAACTAACCAGAAGGCTGGGGATTCTAATCTCCCAGCCACTCCTTGGAAGGAAGGTTGGGCAATCTAATTCCGCAGTGATACCGCCACAGGAACCCAAGGAGGGGTTGCTATGAGTCAGATCCCACTCCATGGCAGTGAGTTTGTGTGTGTGTGTGTGTGTGTGTGTGCCAGTAGAAAATAAATATTTGCAGGAATTCCTACGAGACAGGAAACAGGAGAGTACAGTGACAGAAAATGCAAAGAGTAAGGGTGCCCATAAGGGTAGTCGTATCAGGAAATTCCAGAAGTGCCAACCTTGAATTAACAAAAGAACAAAAATGTGCGATGGGGCAATCTTACCAAAAAAAACAAACACTGCCATCGGGTTGGATCTGACTCATAGCAACCCCTCCTTGGGTTTCCGAGGTGGTATCACTGAGGAAGTAGTTTGCCCAATCTTCCTTCTGAGCAGTGGCTGGTAGGTTTGAACCACCAGCCTTCTGGTTAGCAGTCTAATGCCTTAAGCACTAAACCATCAGAGCTCCTGCAGCAATCTTACCAAGAGATTATTCATTTAAAGAACTGCATTCAGAAAACGCAGGGCTTTGGAAAGCTGTCTCTGCCCTAGGGCTAAGAAAAATCTGAAGTAGGATCTTAGTGAAAAGATTAGAACTTGAAAGAGAGATAACTTGAAACAAAATGTCTGACTTACATATAACCTGTAGTTAAGAACCAACCCCCATAAAGCCTATTAAAAATGTGAGGTACATACAACAGTTCATAGTAACAAAAGGATGCTACTTTGCACCATATATCAAAACACTGTTATTAAGTTAAGAACCAACCTGCACAATGCCTATTAAAAATTTAAGTACATACAACGGTTTGAGGTACATACAATGGTTCCAATGCATCGTAGGAATAGATGCTACTTTGCACCATACATCAAAACACTGTCATTATTACCGTATTATTATGTTAAGGAGGAGTTGTGGTAGCATAGTGCCTAAGGCAATTGACTGCTAACCAGAAGGCTGGTGGTTTAAACTCACTACCCACTCCTGGGAAGGAAGACTGGGCAATCTATCTCTGCAGATACCACCTCAGAAACCCAAGAAGAGGTTGCTATGAGTCAGATTCAACTCAATGGCAGTGAGTTTGGGTTTCTTTCTTTCTTTCTTTGGATTATGTTAAGGAGTCCTGGTGGCACAGTGGTTAAGCACTCAGTGCTAACCAAAAGGTTGGTGGTTTGAAACCATCAGCTGCTCTGTAGGAGAAAACATGGGCAGTCTGCTTCCATAAAGATTTACAGCCTTGGAAACCCTGTGAGGCAGCTGTACGGTGTCCTATAGAGTCACTGTCACTATGAGTCAGAAGCAACTTAATGGCAAGGAGAATGGAATTATTATGTTAAAGATATTTTAGTGTACTTCAGAGTGTTTCTTTAATGTATTTTTAAGCATAGAAAGGTACATTATAAATTAAGACAAACATTTGACTGCCATTAGATACAAATCATACCTTATTGCTTCATCTTATATACAAATTTGACTTAAAATTTAGGATTTAGGAAGAGAATGCATTCAGAATCCAGGGACTGCCTGTAGTACTCCAACAGTGATGGGGTAGGATGAAAATCAAACTTACTCCTGTGGAGTCCATCCCAACTCACAGGGGCCCCTCCTTGGGTTTTTGAGGCGGTATCTCTATCGTAGATTGCTCAGTCTTCTTTTGGAGAAGTGGCTGGTAGGTTTGAACCACCAGCCTTCTGGTTAGTAGGATAAGGAGAAATAAAATACACTGAAGTATTCCATCCCAAAAGTAAAGCCCTCTTCATTTTGGCAACCTGTGGATATCCCAGCCTGCTAGCTCACTCTTAATGCACATACCCTACAAGAAAGCCTGCCTGCCAACCCACACATCATACTTCAACAAAACTCCAATTCAGCCTTTCTGTTCAAAAATGAAAGAATCTCTGATGACACAGTGGTTAAAGTATTCACCTGCTATCAAAGGGTCGACTATTCAATCCCACTAGCTACCCCGTAAGAGAAAGATGAGTCAGTCTACTTTCATAAAGACTTACAGTCCTGGAAACCCTACAGGAGAGTTCTACTCTGTATAGAGTCACTATGACTTGGAATTGACTCGATAACAGTGGATTTGGGTTTGGGTATTTCAGAGTGGAAAACAACACATAATAGGAGAAAACTATCAAAACTAGTTTTCTGTAATGAGCATAATAATGTTTTATTCATAAATAAAAATAGATTATCAAGGACAAACTAGCAATTAAGGAAAACAAGGGGCATGTAAGATAAAAACCAATGTATACAAACAGAACAATGGATTTTTGAGAAAATGGATTAATTCAGGGAATAAATATGAACTTTTTAAAAAATTCTAATTAGGATACAAAAAATGGCTGGTACAAAAGAGAAGTAATCAGGAAAAAAAAAGACGCCTTAAAAATTGAAAATGATTGCTTCCCCCTGCCAAAAAAAAAAAAAAAAACCCAACTATTGGGATAAAATGTATACCTGGAAAACAAGCTAGAGATATAGAAGACAAAGTAATCAATTTCCAAATAATTTTAAATAAATGGAGAGTGAATCCAGGAAATATGAGCTCCAGAAATTTAGAACAGAGACAAGAGAAGAGGATAAACTATCAAACAAAATAAGATAACCCCAATTTGAAGAAAAGAACCCTCACTTTGAAAGGGATTAAGTGTTAAGCAGGATTAATCAAAAAAGATCAACACCGAATATTATATGTCTAGGTTTGCTTCAAAATAATCCAGTTTTTTAGGGGAAAGCACATATAGATGAAACAAGAGTAGCTTTAAGAGTTGATAATTATTATAGTCAGGTGATAGATTTCTGTCCAAAATGTCTACTGTACTTTTGTTACTCCTTAGTTTTAGAATTCCTTAAAATTTTCCTAATTAAAAAAAAAATCTTTTGAAAAGAAAAAAATACCTAGAAATATCAGGTTAAGTTTTAGAATTCAATTACTTCAAACCAAGCAAAGCAATTCCAGGGCCCTTAACATCCTAAATAGGAAAAACCAAAACCAAACTCACTGCTGTCGAGTCGGATCCTACCCACAGTGACCCCTCCTTGGGCTTCTGAGGCAGTATTACTATGGAAGTAGATTGCCCAATCTTCCTTCCGAGGAGTGGCTGGTGGGTTTGAGCCTCCAGCCTTCTGGTTAGCAGTTAAATGCCTTAGCCACTACACCACCAGAGCTCCCCCTAAATAGGAAAGGCACACCAAAAATCTTTCAGAATACATTTATGCCTCAGAGTAGAGAACAGAATCTCTAAAATACAAAAAAAAGAGAAACATTATAACAATAAACAAAAGACCAGAAAATGTGGCCACGTTAAAATTAAGAATTTTCTATTGACTGTCAAACGCTTTGTAAAAAGTATCAAATAGCAAACAACCAACTAGGAGAATATACTTGTAATAGAACTCAAAGTAGTGAGATAAAATCCTAAAAACTTCCAGAGGGAAAAAGTTACCTACCAAAGAACCAGCATTAGATTGACCTCAGGCTTCTCATTAACAACACCTGACATTAAAAAGAAGTTCGGACAGTATTTCCAAAGTTCTTATATTTTAAGCCTAAAGCTCTAAAACTAGCTAACCTATCAATTAAACATTAGGCAAGATGAAGGCATTTCAAGTATGCTAGAATTCAAAGAGTTTGCTATCTATCCCATATGGAAAAATATTATAAGAAGTAAGCCACCAAAATGAAAAAGAATTTGAAGATGAAATGCAATTTAAAAATTGTGACAGTTAATTATCACCTAGAGTAAAGAAATCAAGAAGAAAAAAAAAAAGCATCCATCAGACAGTAACACTTGGAGATTATTCTGGGTGAACAACAAAGTTTTAATAATACAGATTACATTTTGAATGTGGAAAAAGTATTTACATAATCTAATATTATAAATTTGACTGTTAAATTTTAGGATCAAGTGATAATGAAGGACAAAACATTTATATGTGTATTAAATATTCACAAAAAGTATAATTATTATGAATTTTGTAAATACAAGGAATAAAACAAAAATTAGGAAATAGAAAAGTGAATGTGAGGTAAAAGCAAAATAAGCTAATTTCCTTTTTTAAGAAGGACATCAATCAATAAATCAATAAATATAATCAATAATAATAAGAAATAGATTATTTTAAATTATAACTATCAGCATAACTAATTTCCAACATAATATATCTAACACCAAAATATATCTATGTTGTCATACCTTAAGAAATGAGAAGTTGTGTAATTTAGTGCTGCTAAATTCATCTTCATATCAGTAAGGATGCTGTAATTGTGTGCTGTCAAGTCAATTCCAAGTCATAGTGACCCTTTAGGATAGAATACAAGTGCCCCATAGATAATCTTTACAGAAACACACACGTCACCAGGTTTTTTCTCCCCAGAGCTGCTGGTGGGTTTGAACTGCTGACCTTTTAGTTAGGAAGTGAAAGCTTTAACCATTGTGCAACCAAGGCTTCTTATCAGTAAGTATGAAAACCAAAAACCAAACCCACTGCCACCTAGTTGATTCTGACTTACAGTGACCCCCCCCCCCCACAGTGGGTTTCCGAGGCTGTAAATCTTTACGGGAGTAGATTGCCCTGTCTTCCTCCCGTGGAATGGCTGGTGGGTTTGAACTGCCAACCTTCTTGTTAGCAGTCAAATGCCTTGGGAACTGTGCAATCAGAGCTCCTTATCAGTAAGTACCAAAAAAAAAAAAAAGCCAAATTAAAGGAAAAAAAAAAAATCCCAACTCACTGCCATGGAGTCATTTCCAACTCACAGAAACCCCTCCTTGGGTTTCTCAGGCAGTATCTCTACTGAAGTAGAGATCTTCCCTCTGAGGAGCAGCTGGTGGGTTTGAACTACCAGCTTTCTGGTTAGCAGTCAAATGCCTTAGGCACTGTGCCACCAGAGATACTGTTTAAAAATAATTATGTGGGCTAATGGCTAAGCACTCTACTGTTAGCTGAAAGGTTGGTGGTTTGAATGTCACCTCAGAAGAAGGGCCTAGAGATGCTTCTACCTTGAAAACTCTAATGGAACTGTTCTACTATTAACACATGGGATCACCATGAGTCAGAATCAACCTAAAGGCAATTAACAACAACAAAGATAATATAGCAAGTACCAGAAGCATATGTAAATCATTACAAAAGGTAACTACCAGAATTAAAGTCTAAAAACAGTATTAACAGCATTTGTTTTTAGAGGATAAGGGGACTTCAATTTTTCATTTTGTACCCCTCTATATACTATTTTAATTCCTTTACCAAATGATTCATTATTTGTATAATTTTGAACAACAGTTCAATGAAAATCAACCATGGTACGTTCATAGTCACATTCTATACATTGTTGTTGTTGTTGTTATGTGCCATCGAGTCGGACCCAACTCACAGTGACCCCTCCTTGGGTTTCTGAGGCAGTATCACTACGGAAGTAGACTGCCCCATCTTCCTTTCGAGGAGTGTCTGGTGAGTTTGAACCTCAGCCTTCTCGTTAGTAGTCAAGTGTCTTAGGCATTACGCTACCAGAGGTCCCACATTCTATACAGCAATAAACAAATGAGACAGAGCTATATGTACTAATATACAGAAAAATGTTCACAATGGAACATTTTAAAATAGAAAATGCAAATTGCTGGGAGAGAAAAAAATATGTATTTATGTATGTGTTTTTGTTTTGTGTCTACCTTAATGTAATACATTTTTGGGTGTATTTGCATATATTTGTATTCATGAACCCATTAAATATGTATATGTAATAAAAAATGCCCAGAAGTTTCATACCAAAATATTTGCAATTGTTAGCTTCCTCTGAGGAGTGGAAATGGGGGACAAGTCACATGACAATGCCTTAGTCACCCCTAAAGTCTGGAACTAAAGTTACTACCATGGCTCAACTTTCAGCCGAACAATAGTCAGGCCTATAAGGCGAATAATACCAACCAACCATATGAGCATTTGCCCATTTCAAAAGGTAGAAATGGACAGGAAAGAAAGATGAATGGAAATGGTTACCACAGGGAGGAAGTGGGAACTACAATCAATGTCACAAAACAAAATGTATATGAACTATTGAATGGAAAACCAATTTGTTTGGTAAACCTTCACTCAAATCACAATATAAACGGGGAAAAAAAAAGACACAAGATAGCATGGAGAAGTGATAAGTTTTACTTTCCATACAATGCTTTAAATAATGAAAATGATTACTTGCTCGAGAAAAACATTTTTAAGAAAATAAACCATCAGATTCTTAGCTTAAAAATTTACCCATTTGCTTTACTATAATTATATTATCAGAGGTTTGGTATTTAGCTTACCTTGAAGGGTTCCAAGAAATACAACTACAGCTTAGCTTACATGAGATCTCATGCTGCAGAGACCACTGACTAAGATTCATAACATCTGGTGCCTCGTATATTCTTACTATACCATCGGCTGAACAGGTTGCTAACATAAGACCCATATGCTTGGGAGCAAATTTCACATCAGTAACTGATGTTCTGCTATCCACTAGAGTTGTCCTCTTAACCTGAAAAAATTAATTAACAATTTAAATTATATTAAAAAAAGACAAAATTAAATAAACAAGTAGGATAAAAACATAGATGAAAAAAATGGAAACAGGAAATATACTAGGGAGTGATAACATTTTACCAAGTGCCTGAGGTGCACAGCACCCTCATCCCCATTCCATGGACTACTAACAAATGTCTCACCCAGTGACTCTGTCCTCGCAGTTTATCATTTGATTCTCCGACAATTTCTTCCCATACAGCAGCTGTTCGGTCAAAAGAACAGGAAGCCAAAACTTGTCCAAACTCAGGGTGGGCCCATGTTACACGCCACACTGATCCACTATGGGTCTGGAAATCAAAAAAAAAAAAAAAAAAAAACAGGACAGATATTCAGTATCTAAATTTTCTAACTTCTAGAAGACAGTCTGTATTTAGAATTATGGCCCCTCTGGAGTTAAATTCTTTTAACCTTTTTACTAATAAAGAACAATTCAACTGGAGACCTGTTTCAGAATTTAGGCTTACCAAACTTTTAAGCAGAGATGCTACCAGTCTACCATTTTTTAACTAGCAAATTTCTCTGTACAGAAAATATCCATCTAACAAAATAAATAGAATTAAATTAACCTAAATTATTTGCTATCAAAGTATATAAAGATTATGATAACATACTGTGTATGTGATTGTAATGGATGTCTGACTAGACAGTGGACCATTCTAGGAAAAGATGCACTGAGTGAGCAAATAGAAGCTCAAATTCTTGCATTCTACTGAGAAAATAACTGAAAGCTTAGTACCAATACCTTTATATATGAAAATTATCCCATTACAAAAAATTATTGTATTACTATTCCTGAATGCTTCAACTTGACCAAAAAAAAAAGGGGGGGGGAGGGATAGAAAGGTCTTCAAGCATTTCACATCAAAATTAGCTGCTAGTGGTTTCCAGTAAAAATACCATATGATAACAACATCAATCCACCAATTATGCTCAGAAAATACATTTCACACTTCTATATCTCTAACTTTTTTTTTTACAATCAACAACATGAAAACACTTAACCCAATAACTTCTACAAGGTAGTAATGTCATCTTCCAAAGGTAAAACTTCACACTCTCTATTTTTTTATCCTTTGTTTTGTCCAGTAATTTTTGTTTTACCTTTTATTTCTACAAGGCTATTAAGTAAAAAAGGAGCCCTGGCAGCACAATGGTTAAGCACTTGGCTGCCAACTGAAAGGTCAGCAGTTTAAACCCACCAGCAGCTCTGCAGGAGAAAACACCTAGAGATTTCCTCCCATAAAGATTACGGCCTAGAACACCCTATGTCTGTCTTGTAGGGTAGCTATGAGTCAGAATCAACTCAACAGCACACAACAACATAAAGTAAGTAAAAAATGTATCAAGGCACAGAGGTTTCTTTTTAACTGTGGTAAATATATAGATAACAAGACATTTACCATTTCAGCAATATGAACATGTGCGATTAGTTCAGTGACATTAATTTTGTTCATCTTGCTTGACTATCATTAACTGTTCCTGAATTTTTTCATCACCTAATAAGCTCAGTGTCCCCTAAGCATTGTGTATCTCCTTCCCCTCCCCGAACCAGCTTTCTTTTTAACAGCTTTATTCTGGTTGAATTTTGCATACCTTACAAGTCAGGAATTTCAAGTGCATGGCTCAATGAGTTTAGTACATTTATATAGTTAGAATACTTCCATCAATCTAAAAATTTCCCTTGTGCTAGTCTGCAATCAATCCCCATTTCCACCTAAGCCCCAGGCAACCATTGATATGCTTTCTATTTCTACAGTTTTGCCTTTTCTAGAAATTTCATATAATTGGAATCCTATCATAGTCTTTTGTGTCTGGCTTAGCACGTTTTTGAGGTTTATCTGTGTTGTTGCATGTATTAGTAATTCACTCCTTTGTAATGCTTTGTATAAATAGTAGTACATTATATAGAAGAGCCACATTTTGTTTATGCCTTACCAGTTGGTGGACGTTTGAACTATTTCTAGTTTTTACCATTATCAATAATGCTGCTAGGAATATTCCAAGCAAGTAACGTTGTGTGGACATTTATTTTCATTTCTCTTTGGTAGATTACCTCAGACTGGAATTGGTAAATTGTATATGTTTAACTTTTTAAAAATATCACAAGAGTCCCTGGGTAGTACAAATGGTTAATGTGTTCAGCTGCTGACCAAAGGGCTAGAAGTTTGAATCCACCTAGAGGTGCCTCAGAAGACAGGCCTGGTGAGTCAAAAAATTAGCTATTAAAGACCTGATTAAGCACAGTTCTACTCTGACACACATGGAATTGGAATCAACTCAATAGCAACTAGAAAAAAAATGAAAGATCACAACTTAAAAATATGTAAAGAATAAAAGCAAGAAAGAGGTATATTAAGATCAGAAAGGCAGCATTTGCACTGGGAGAAAGCTTTGGCGGCAGGAATGCATAGGAAAGGACACAGGGAAGCAGTGGGAAGAAAGCTGTTACATTGTGGGGATTCAATCAATGTCAAGACAAAATATGCATGAACTACTGAATGCAAAACTATTTGCACTGTAAACTTTCACCCAACACAACAACAAAAAATAAATTCAAGAAAATATAAAGTATGCTGAAATGCTAAAAACAATTAATCTTAGAATTGTGGGATTACATATTTTCTTACTCACAGTTTCTGAAATGCATTTATGCTACTTTAATAGTGAAAATGTAAACCACTGTTTTAGGAAAAAAATTATAAATCTTATAATTTTCTGAGTTGAACAGCAAGTCACTGATACCACCAAATAAACAGTAAACACTTTAACTTTTTTTTGTTGTTAGCATCATGTTTATTGAGGTACGATTTACATACAGTAAAATTCACATTTTTGCATGAGTTGACAAATGCAGCAGTGCATCCTTACCATCAACAGGATGCGGAATAGTTCCCTCCCTTTCTAAACCCTTCATGTCTCACTAAAATCAGACCCAACCCCCTCCCCAGACATCCACTGTTGTTCTAGTTCAAAAGGATAAAATTTAATCATTAAAATTATACTGATAAATGATTATGGCATAGAACAAATTATATGCACATAAAATCGTATTTTTATAAACTCAGATACTTTTTTCAAGTGTTCTTTTATATCAACTGAACGTGAGTAGAAATAACCCCCACCCCCCAAAAAGCCAAACTCACTGTCATCTAAGACTCTGACTCATAGCCACCCCCTTTGGGTTTCTGAGGCAGTAAATCTTTATGGAAGTAGATTGCCCAGTCGTCCTTCTGTGGAGTGGCTGGTAGGTTTGAACCACCAACATTCCTATTAGCAGTCAAATGCCTTAGGCACTACGCCACCAGTTGTTATGTCTTCAAGTCAACCCAACTTACAGCGACCCCTCCTTGGGTTTCTGAGGCGGTATCACTACGGAAATATATTGCCCAACCTTCCGAGGAATGGCGGGTGGGTTTGAAACACCAGACTTCTGGTTAGCAGTCAAGTGCCTTAAGAGCTCCTTAGAAATAACCCCAGGTGTGGGGATATGGGATGAAAGGATGACTTTACTGTAGAGTAAGATTGTTTTATGCAGACTGCCAGCCTATTTTCCAGGAGGGGCCCTCAATAAGGGCTATTATGCCGGCTCAAGGAGTTCTGGTGGTGTAGTGGGTAGGGCATTTGACTGCTAACCACAAGGTCAGCAGTTCAATCCCACCAGCTGCTCCACGGAAGGAAAATGACACAATCTACTTCTGTAAAGATTTATAGCCCTGGAAACCCAATGAGGGTTGCTACTTGGAATCAATTCAATGGCAGTGGGTTTTATGCTGGCTCAGGCTGAGCCAAAGTTCAGGGACTTGGTGGAAAGAGCTTAGCCAAATTTTGTTAATAAGAACTTTTGTTTCAGATTCATCAGCAGAGGTAAGCAATTCAGTAACCCATTTATGACTGGGAATTGGGAGGGTCTGTGTCTGCCCCATCATAGGTAAACAGGGGAGGGAGCATCCTGGGTCTTGTCTAAGTCATATGGGAATGGTGTTTTATTTTCCTGAATCTTTAGAACAATGAGATTTAAAGATGACCACTGCTTAGTTGTCAAAGTTCTCTTAAGATAAAAAAATTGCGAACCTAGTTCGACAACAATTCTTAAAAAGGATTAATCTTTATGCAGTACATAAACCAAGATTATGGATTTAAATGCCTCACTGTCAAGTTTCAGACTAGGGCTAGTTGATAAACTACTTGAAATAATGTAAATGATTTCTATGCAACTCAGCTACAGGGCATAGCTATGATATAGGTTGCAACAGATATTTGACACTTTTCTTTCAAAATTCATCTCTGCCACCACGAGAAGAGGGACAAAGAAAGCAAAAACCTCTATTCCATAGGTATCCATCATCTCACTCAAATATACTTGTCTCTATTTGGAAAAGGATATCTTTCAAACAGCAGCACCCCTTAAGTTCATCAGCAACTGGAACAGGGACACTGACTGAGCCAAGTCGATCACTGCAGCGAAAAGGGACACTTTAACTTTTTAAAAAAATCACTGTAAAAATAAATTACTAACCTTCCAACTAGCAGTACAATGCCAATCCCCATTTTCACTTTTATCCCAGACCTACAAGAAAGTAAAAAAACATATTTACATGAGAAATTTCTACAAATTAATACAAAAAGCACTAAGATTGAAATAAGTATAATTTCAAAGGCAAAGGGTGTTAAACATATTATGCTTATCTTAACTCAGTGGACATATCCCTGCTACAAATGATCCCAGGTGGGGCTTCCCATCATAAGTTCCTCCCAACTGGGGTAAATAGAATGGACTTGGTTAGGCCTCTTTAAAGTTCTACCACTCACTGGTCAATCTGTCATACTGTGGCTTGCATGTTACTATGATACTGAAAGCAATGCTGCCAGTATCTCCAATACCTGCTGGGTCATCCATCGCAGCCAGGATTCAGTGGAACTTCCAGGCTAAGATACGTGGCAGTCCACTTCTAAAATAAAAATTTGCCACTGAAAACCTTAGGAATGTCTGTGAAACACTAATATAGTGCCAGCAGATGAGCCCTTCAGGTTGTGTTATGTCATGTGCGTGGAGTCAGGGCCGACTCAAAGTGACCCCTCCTTGGGTCTCCAAGGCAGCATCATTACGGAAGTAGATTGCCCCATCTTCCTTCCAAGGAGTGGCTGATAGGTTTCAACCGTCAGCCCTCTGGTTAGCAATCAAGTGCCTTGTAGGGCACTCAAAATATGACTGGAGAAAAGCTGCCTCCTCAAAGTAGAGTCCATCTTAACCATGTGGATGGAGTAAAGCTTTCTGGACTTTCATTTCCTGATGTGGCACAACTCAAAATGAGAAGAAACAGCTGCAAACGTCCATTAATAATTAGAACGTGGAATGTATGAAAAACGAATCTAGGAAAAATGAAAGTTGTCAAAAATTAAATGGAATGCCTCTGGCAAGGCGTGCAGGGGCACCTCCTCGGTGTGGCCCTCCTTTCATGAGGTTGATATCCTAGGATTTAGTGAGCTGAATTCAGACAATCAAATGGTCCACTACAACAGGAATGACAGGAGAGGAATGGCATCGCATTCATCGTCAGAAAGAACATTCAAGCTCTATCCTAAAGTAAAATGCTGTCATATCCATATGCCTACAAGGAACACCAGTTAATATTACTGTTCTTAAAATTATGCACCAACTACTAAAGCCAAGTTTATTTAAGGTTCCTAAATCCCAAATACCATACTCATAAAAATTTTGCTAGTCAATTAGTCTACACATGTGCACAGAACTTTAAGAAATACACACACCTTTTTCTATACAGCAAGTATAAAACGTCATTGGCTATATAAATGATGTGTATTTTTCGTTCTCAGTGCGTTTCCTCTCCCCAGGTGAAGATTAGGCACACGAAACTATGTAAATCCTTCCTTACAAGTCCCATAGCCACGTCTTCGGACGAGCGCACCCAGCTCCCATCTACCAGAAATTGACGCGAAGCCCTGGCCGTCCGCTGGCGGTAGAAGCGCGCACGCGCAGGGACTGCAGCAGCTCTGGACATTCCTGCGCAGACTCCTAGGAAGCGCGGCCCCGCGGAGGCGGCTTGACACCCACACCCACAACCTACGCAGCAGGAGGGCCTTCACCTACGGCCCGAACTCACCTGCTTCCCAGGGACGCATGAGAGTGACACGCACTCTCATGCGCCTTCCCTCTCCCCTTGCTGAGGCTCTCACCCCTCCCGAGGCCCCTTCTTCCTCTCTCGGCCCTGCCCAGATCGTTGTGCGCACCTTGACGCTCTGGTCACTGGAGCAGGTCGCCATCCGCCGCCCATGAAAATCAAAAGAGACATCATGGATGAGATCCTTATGATCCGCAGCAATACTGCGCGCCACAAACATGGCTCCGCCGGTCACGCGCGTGCACCGTTCGCACCCTGCGCTTGCAGTGGAAGAGGCTGCTACGGGTACACGTGCGCACCACCATCCACCCGGGTGGCGCGCTGCCGCGTTGCTTGGCGCACAAGTGCGCGCGCGCTGCGGCCCGTCATGCCCTGCGAGGCTGTCAGGAACTTCCGCCTCACTTACGGAAATCGAGTGACCTCCAAGATACTTCCCTGGAGAAGGATGTCATGCTTAGTAGGGTGGAGGGTCCACGAAAGAGGGGGAAGCCTTCAACGAGATGGATTGACACGGTAGCTGCAATGATGGGCTCAAGTATAGCAGGGATCATGGAGCTGGCGCGGATGGGGCAGTGTTTCGTTCTGCTGTGCAAAGGGTCGCTATGAGTCGGAAAGGACTCCACGGCATCTAACAGCAACAACAACCAAGATACTGGGAGGTCTTATTTTGATAAAAGCTAGAAGTTGTTGCCGAGATTTTGAAAATTAAGAAAAATGAAAAAAGATAAAAATGCTCTCAACAATCATCAATTTCTGTGACCATTTTGACATGTCTCCCCCCCCTCCCCGTTGCTAGGTTCGTGGAGGGTAGTGGAGAAGATGGACTGTGGATTTGGTCAGGAAAGGAGCTTTCCTGGCTTGAAGGGACGGACTGAGAAGTCCAAGATTGACAGGCAAGAAGTGAAAACATGAGGAATGGAGAGGGAGGAAGTGAGGGGTTATGGAGGCCGAAGAGCAGGTGTACTAAGGAGGAGGGAGAAACAAAAAGCATCGGAAGTGATAGTCAAAAGTTTTGAATTACAGATTTCAGCAGTAAAACAGATTTGGGCGTGATAAAACCCAGGATGAGGGAAATGAGATAGGAATTAAAGGTTCTCCATGTAGAAATTAAACCCACCTAGTTGAATGGCAGGATCCGAACCGAATTGGAAGACATACTGCCTAGCCTCCAATCAGAGTCCTCAATGGAAAAATTAGTGAAATAAGCCAAACTGGGGGGTGGGGGTTGCTGTGAAAAAGAGTCCTACTATCAAGGATTCCTTCAAAACGAGCAAGTGGAGATAGGGGATTGTGGTCAAGTTAGGTAGAATAGGAAAGTGGAACACTAGATCAGACACGTGGAAGGACAGAAAAAACTCAAAAATGAGACCGAAGAAGGAGCTTGTATTTTGGATTACATCCAGGAGTGACAAGATTGGTGAGATTAACAGGCTATAAAGTTTTTTTAAAAAAAAATTAATCCCAGGTATCCATTAATAGATTGCACAGAAACCTGGTGGAGAAATGACCTAGCCTTTCTGGAATTTAAATTACTTGCCATTTTTAATTAAATAAAGAAAAAAAAAAAAGCTAACTCACTGCCATCCAGTTGGATTCTGATTCATAGCCACCCCCCTTTGGGTTTCCCAGGCAGTATGGAAGTGGATTGATTGCCCAGTGTTCCTTCCACGGAGTGGCTGGTGGGTTTGAAATGCCAGGTGCCTTCCATTTTTAATAGTTAATATTTAATAGTTAATTATTATGAGAGTAAATGTTTCTCGTAAGAAGTTTTTAAAAATATGGTTGTACATAGGATAAGTTCCCTTTCACCTCACAATCTAACCTCCTTGCCCAAAGATAAACACTGTTACTGCATGCCACTTCACAATTTTTCTATGGACTTGCATATCACAGTTTGTCCACCCTCACCACTCTGTTGGAGGTTGGGAGGGAGTCCTATCCTAGGGTTGTGAAGGTGGCCACAAATATGACACCTAACACTGGGCAGATGAGGCTGGCAGGAGTTTATTACTCACAGGCGGTCCTTAGTCCCTGGGTTATAAACGTCTAACTGACTTAACCGTCCAACCGATTATGAACCAACCCCTGTGAAGCCTACCCAAAAAGGAAAAACCAAACCTACTGCCATCAAGTCCATTCCAACTCATAGTAACCCCTATGGGCTGTATTTCCAAGGCTATAAATCTTTATGGAAGCAGTCTGCCTTATCTTTATTTCCTGTAGCAGCTGGTGGGTTTGAATGGCAGACCTGTTGCTTAGCAACCAAAGGCCTTACCACAGCACCAGAGCTCCTTCGGTAAAGCCTGTTATAGTGAAAATTTGAGGTATATACAATGGTTCGTAATAGCAAATGGGCACTAGCTTAGGACACATAGCAAAACATTACTAAATTACACCCTCTCCTCACCAACATGGTTATGTTCTAAAGACCAACCAGGTTATTATCAAAATTCATTGTGATACAAAAATGAAGGATGACCACATTATCATATAACTATCAAACCACTATGAATCATGGCCCAGCCAAGTTAACACATAATCGTAATGCTTACAGCCAGTATTACTTTCGCCTCACATTCATTACTGCCAGACATACTTTGTTAATGTGGAAAATAGCCAGGAAGTAGATTTTTCACTGCTGCTGTAAATGCAAAATTTTGGATAATGGGATTGTCAATAAGTGGGGAGAGGGTATATTATGTTAAAGATATTTTAGTGTATCTGGGAAGTGTTTCTTTAAAGTTTTTTATGCCATATACTACTAAAACAAACATTTGAGTGACACTATGTACAAACCATACCAAACTGTTCCAACTGACATACAAATTAGACTTAAAGACGCACTTAGAAACAGGATTTGTTTGTAATCTGGCGACTGCCTGTACTCACACCCAAGGGAGAAAGAACAGCACATACGGTGCTGGCCCTAGCAAGGATGGAACTTGGGAGCAGAGTAAACCAAAAGGGGTTGTGGAAGCAGGTTTTGTAGTAATGAGAGAAGGGTGACCCCTGTTTATGATCAGTTTGTTTAAATAATTCTGCAAGTTGGCAGGGAAGTGAAACTTGTTAGGTTGAGGACCAGGTGGACTGCAGCTGGTCTTCTGATAAGGAAACGACTTGGGGAGTCCTGCTGGGTTGGGACTTATCAGTTGAGAGCAGGGGAATTCATAGGCCTTTGGAGCCCTGTGAAACTAAATGTCAAGCAGCACATGAAATTGTGTGTGTGTGTGTGTGTGATCTGGGTGAAAATTTACAGAGCAAATTCATTTCCCATTCAACAATTCACACACACTTTTTCTCTTGACATTGATTGCAATCCCCACAGTGTTACGGCTCGCTTCCCAATTCCTCCTGTGGTTATGTTTTCCTTGTGTCCTTTCCTATGCAGCCCTGCACTCTGAGCTATCTCGCTGCACAAATGTTGTCCTTCTGATCTCCCCTGATTGTTTTAAGGAGTGTACCTACCTGTTAATAATTGTTCACTTTGTAGGCCTGCCTGTTGTTTGGGTGGAAATTAAGCCATGGGAGTGAGTTCAATTCCAGGCCGAAAGGATAACTAGGGACCATAGTCTTGAGGGTTTTACCAGTCTCTATCAGACCAGTAAGCCTGGTATTTTTTTTTTTTTTTT